CCGACTCGATCGCCTCAAATACAAACGTATTTGTTTTCAGTTTCAGGCGATCGAGTCGGGCGATCGCCCGATCCAGCCGTAGTGGGCACCCCGTGTTTTACAATCACAAACTGAAGGACGAGCGAACAACTTGCATAGAATCACAAGCGATACCTTTAACACAGCGACACAAGCGTACAAACACCGCTCTTTGAGCTGTCTCGGCGATGAAATGACCGCGTTACGGTTGGCTGGGTCAAACATGGATCATCGACCCCACCTCAAGATACCTGGGTTTTTAAAATACTTTACGGCGCTCGCAACTGCATAAGGTCACATGGGCGCGCGAGACACACCAAACATTTTCAATCTGTAGGAAATTTTGAATTTTGCCCTGATCTCTCTCCCCCCTCCCCTGTGGAGAGAAATGCTGCAGGAATGATGGCAATTGAAACTGTATTGTACTCTACCCGCGCAGGTTTTGACATCCATCCTGCCAAAAGACACTCTCTTGTTGTGATTTTCACTGACTAATTATCAGCCCTACAAGCAGTAGAAAATTACCATGATAAGAACCAAGATCTTACTCCCTATCCTGTTTGGCTCTCACCAGTCGATAACACCCTGTGGTGTCGACCTGGTGATACTGTGGATTCCTTAACAATCAAACGCACCTGGAAATGGCAGAGCAGACACACTTGCCAAAAGAGGATCTCGACACGATCATACCAACTCTGTAACTAAATACCACCTTGTAAAATACATTATCATCAAAAGCAACAACAAACAAGACTAGATGAACAGATAAACCCTGTGAAAGACAGACAGAGCAGGTTTCAAACCTGTGACTACCACAAAACGCAATAACAATGTCAACCAGCTTCAGAGAAAAAGAACAGACCATGTCTTCCGTCTGTGGACAGAAGATAACATACAACTCAACTCCCACTTGAACAAAAAAACCCCCAACTACCTAGAACTTCTCCCAATACTAGGTTTGTATGAGTACACGACATACGAAAGTGTGAATCATCAATTACCTGTTCCACTACACTGCACGGTCCTAGTGAATGAAATGAGGGCTACTCTTAATAATAAATAATAAATAGCTTTTGTATAGCGCAAATCCCCGCTCAACTGCAAGCTCTGTGCGCTTCACAATCTATACTATTACCTCAGTAGATCCTACAGCAGTCTGAAACAACCTCAACTTTCTGGGAAGCATACAATGCAAGCGGCCTTTCATAGGAGCTAAAACACTAACATGCAGAAATACTCTTCTCCCTCCGTAACCTACCGCTGACAGCACACTCCACGGAACTTCACCACAA